TTTCAAATTTAGCCCATCAATAAATAAAGGAGAACAAAACTATCAAGTGTATAATCTTTGTGTTTGCTTGTAATTTGGTTGAAATAGAATTAAGCGACAGGGACATTGAACAATAAAAATTATTTATTATCACAAAGAAAATGTATTTATTGTTATGAAAAGAAATATATATGATACAAGGTTTAACTTATCAGAAAATTTTTACTTGAGAATCAAAACTATATATTACACAGAGGGGATTCAGAATAATATTTGCCTCGGCGACAGTAACGTACATTTCAAATAGGCTACTATATTTGAATTTGGAACTCCTTAAATACCTTTTCAGATCGATAATTATATGAATTCTTATTTATTGTTATATGACTATTTATAATGTTGATTTAAAAATTACATCAGTGGTATTTCTTTTAAATGAAAATGAGGCGACATTATTTGAGCCCTTATATTGAGAATGGGTGAACTAAAGTAAACATGCAAAGGGTATAGTTATGAAGCAATGGTCCCTCTTTCAAAATTGTGGATTTCAAGGCCTCTAGTTTAAAACAGGAACCGAATTCAATTGTTGCAAAGTTGTTACATGATGCTCAGTGACCCATAACAGGCCCATGGATCTCTTGTTTATACTTACAAATGTAAGGAGGGGGGATGCACTTTACTCCTCCCCAACATATATTTGATTGAATGTCTTAATAGTAGCATCATAATCAATGTATCTGGAATGGTTTTTTAGCTTGTGTAATTCCAAGGAAAATTTATTTATTGAGGGGCATAAATGTTTCATTTTTGGGTGTTTTTTATGAGGAGATATCAACTAAATAAAATTCCATTTAATTAATTAATATCAACATTTGTATTCCATGCTATATCATAATACAAAAACGTAATACTAGCTAGGTATCTTGGTAACTTCACCCCCATATGGTGTGGAGAGGCTATAAGATTGTATTTATCAACAATATTCGTAGATATCACCTAGGTAAAAAAACAGTTAATTCAATGATGTTACAATGTTATATCTTTATTTGTGTGGTTAAACTTTCAAATGCCTCACGAAATAAACTAGAAGTAATAATAATGAATGTTAAACTGATAAACTAAAATGATAAATTGTCAGTCATGTTTTATGTTGAGAACCTTGAAGAAACTTCTTATTTCATGTAACTGTAACAGTAGATATCAACATTTTAAATATCCAGCCACTTGAAGAATGTTAAAAAATTTCCCTAAAAAATGTTTTACAACAAGTAAAAATAGTTATAGGTATCACTACAGATACTTCGTTACTTGAGCAGGTCTGGGCGATTTCTAAATAAGGAAGTCAAGAACGATAACCGTGAATTGCTATTAATACACAGAATAAACAAGGCACTAATCTTTCTGACCAATCAGATAACAGCATTTAGACAAACCTATGAGAGAATAAATAAAACACGTGGTTTTTAAGTTTTTTGTTCAAAAGATTTTTTTAGAACAAACTTTTTGTAAACTTTATGCGCATTTGGGAATAATATAATATTTATGACAATTCTACCGTGAACAAACACGACTTGAAAGCTTGGAATACGTTTTAAGTGGGATAAAAAAATCTGTCTGTAGGAGTTAGCAATCCCAAAAGTTCACTTACGTAAAAAAATTGATACAAATAGGGTAAATTTTCAGTTTTTAGAGCCTGACATAAAAATCTTATCGAAAAGATAACAGTCTTTATTATTTTTGAGTGTTTATTACAGAATACTAGTAGTCCATGCAGTTTCTGATATGCGAGGTAAGATATTGGGATAAAACGCATTCATTTATAATATTACAGGATTCTCTTTTCTCCACGTTAAACGCCTTTTCTTATGCCCATTTAAAGTCTGCATAGCTAAGTATTCGGCGCTCATGAAACCCGTGATAATGCAAAACTATATTATGTATACTCCATACGATAAAGACTTGTGTGAGTTGATCTATACAATGCATTATCGATGAAAATCGGACGGATAAGCAAAATTATATCTACCATCATAAATTATATTCTGGTAAATGTTATAATTGAACTTGATAAAAACTTGCTGGTGCGATCTATACCTCTGTAAACGATTACATTCTATCGCGCATAATTTTTTTTTCTTTACCGAGATAAAAATGTCAAGGTTGTTCACGGTAAAAATGTGGGGAATACCTTATTCTTCAAAAGTTTTCAACTTACTTCTATAGATGTTTTGTTAAAAAAATCTTTTTGAGTAAAAAAACAAAAGCACCTGTTATCTTTTTTGTTCTTTTAAAATATGTTTTGGGGTGTGTGAAAATGCTGTTGTCTGATTGAACAGGAAAATAATTACGTGTACTTGATGTACATTTATAGCAACTTTCGGTTATCGTTCTTGACTTCCATATTTAGAAATCGTCCAGACCTGTTGAGTGATACATCATATTCTAGTATCATATTAAGGAAATTGAAACCAAAATAAATTTATTATATTGTATTGATTTCTTTTTAAATGCATTCAATATATTACTTTCGTATTTTTATGATACTATTACTTATGTTGCCAGCAGTTGACATTACTCACATGTCGTAGCTAGTTACTAGTTGCTACTTTTATTTTCATTTATCAAAGATAAAATAACCTTTTCATTTTTAGGAAATTGAAACAAAAATATTATTTTGTCTTCATTTCTTTTTAAATGTATTAAAAGTATAACTTTTATTTTATTATGTTACAGGTACTTATGTTTCTAGTACATGTAGTGGACTTTACTCACATGTTACTAGAAACTAGTTTTATTTACTTTTTAAAGTCTGTTACTAGTAGCCAGTTACTAGTAGCTAACTAAACTTACATATCAAAGCCAGGTACCAATAGCCAACTTTACCCACTTGTCTTAGCCAGCCACTAGTAACCAGTTACTTGTACATAACTTTACATATCTTTCATTATATATTGGAAGAGGATGGTATAAAGCGTACCTATAGAGTATCATAATCCAATATTTTAAATGTAGCATTTTTGAGTTACTTTACATTAAAAATACTGCACAAAAAGAATTTAAAAATATATATACATGTAGTAGTAGTATCTTTATTGGTTTAATGCATATATTGCCACATATAACATTTCTTTATAAACAACGGTTAATATGTGTTACACAGGTGTTATTACATATTTTTATAAACTGAAAGGAAAAAGAAATGCATAAGAACATAATATGGTAAAATTTTCTGACTATGTGACCGAAAATTATGAAAATTGGTCAGATGTTTATTTTGGTTTCTTTGCACTAAAATCACCACTCAAAACTACTCAACCATGAAATGTATGGCATCACGTAGGGGAACTGAAAAAAGTTAAAAAAAAAATAAAAAAAAAAACAATACGTGCATGTTAATGATGATAATTTTGTAATAAATTTTGTAGTACCATACTATGCATTAGAATTATAGACATCGTTTTTGCATATTTGCAGTCAGTATAAATTTCTTGCAACCGTGGTATGGCTGACAGAATCTACTGCGGGTTTAGTAATTGAATTCGATATTGCATAATTGAATAAAAAGGCAAAAACATGCTGATTTACAGATTGTTTTCAACTTTTCAACCAAATAAAGGTGTTTTTTGGTTGTCAGAGAGTGAACTTAAAATGTTTCTAACCAACCATGACGGTGACATTGGCGCGTACCAACGTCACAACAAGGCTTTTCATGACGCCACCTCAGTTTTTGTCAAGGCATTATCTACAAAAATTGGTATTTATACAGCAGACAAACATACGCACTTTTTCCACCCTAAACTGACAGAAACTCTCAGCTCTAATTTGGGCCGTGAGCTTGGCCAGCTAACGTCGATTTTCTTCTCAAACGCGCACGTTTGCGTCGTTTCCGTAATGTTTTTTAGCATGTTTACACAGGAAAAATGTAGCTTATATTTGTTGATACTTTTTTACAAACATTCAAACCTGCTGGGTTCTGTATATTCTATCCTAAATTGAAAATTTGCGGGATTCGATTAGGGGGGGGGGTATTTGTTGACTTTGGAATAATACAGTTAATGTCAGCTATCAAGTCTACCGTCAGAAGGGTTGACTTATAATGCTAGGAAAAAATAAATGCTCTGGTGAACCCAATGCACAGGAAAATCAAGTTTGTTGCTGATGCAAAAGGGAGATTATGAAAATCTTAAGTTTTTTTTTTCTTTTTTTTGGGGGGGGGGGGGGGGTTCACCATATTGATATCAATATCTCAGGAACTACCACTCAAAATCCCGCGAAATTTTGGTAACTTGTTGATTAAAGATGAATTAAAATGTATGATAAAAATGCTGAAAAACATATTTGAAATAATTGTTTTTATTTAATTCAAAAGTTTAATATGCGTTTCTTAATCCTTTCAGTATACAAATATGTAGGGAAAAAAGGAAACAAAAAGAAGTAAAAAGAACTATGCAGGTGTCTTTTGTATTACACATGTATTAAAATTTACTGTATGGTAAAATTTTCCCTCTTTTTAAAACATTCAAACACAAATTTCCCCAGTTTTCTAAGTATATTTTCTGAATCGGAATTAGGTAATTCAATAAACTTTGCCATACTAGGTCTTACATAATAATAGTTTTAAATATATTTTTCTCTTAAATCAGTATAGAAGTTACATATAAGAACAAAATGATTTTCATCTTCTATTTCGTTTCATATACAATTTATACATTTTCGTTCACGTGTGGGACATTTTTTTATCATATCTACCAGATTCAATCCGTCATTTTGGCCAATTTGGTCAATTTGGATGCCACATGCTAAGTTTTCATGAAGAGTTGTCTCCAGATCCTCCAAAAATAATGAAAATAACATTGGAGATAGAATGCCCCCTTGTAAAACACCTAGTTCATTATCAAAAAAAGTTTGTGAGGGAACCATTTACGCGTACAAAACCTTTCACATCCTCATACATGGCTTTAAGACCTCTTAACATTTTGCCATCAATACCTAGCTTTAATAATTTGTAGAAAAATGCATTCCTATCCACCGTATCCAATCTCTACGGAAATCTACAAAAGCACAAAAATGTTTGTTTTTTTCCTTTTGCAATATTAAAATCAATAGCGTTCTTTAATACATAAGCAGCATCAATAGCGCTAAAACCTTTCTTAAATCCATATTGTGCATTAGGTATAATATTGTTGTCTTCCGACCATTTTTGCAATCTATTATTCAAAATACGAGATATTTTTATTAACTAACTACACCTAAAATTCTACATGGAAGACTACATGTGTACGAAATGCAGAAAATGATGTTATTAAGATGTGGATAAAGTAATTTAAACATCATACAGATATCTCGGTGGAGATATGCATAAACTCTCTACTAGAAGAAAGAAACGAAACATTTACCACAAATATTTGGATAAACAATTAAAACAATACCTTTTGTCAAGGCCAGACAACTAATTCATAAATTTGAAAGGGTGACATTACATCGGCTGCGCCTCGGTTGACAATAGTTTTCTTGGGGTGAAAATTTTCAATGTTATACTCAACTACATGCTATATTTATTATATTATACTGAATGTTTTATACAAATACATATTACAGTTAACCGTGCGGGCATAAATTTAGCGCAGTTGCTATTTTTTGGAATACCACCCGTCGTCAAGCAATGTTGACTGTTGCTACGCATGAGGGCGTGGCTTCATTATTCAGCGGGTAGTAGTGTTTTTATCAAATGTTTCTCGACGAATCAGATTTAAGTAATTTACATGAAAGTATAATATAATTAGTTATCAAATGGGTCAATTAGAAATACCTCAGTTGAATATTTATATTTATTTATTACAAATACAAGAAAAATACATTTGAATTATTTTAAGCGGAAACCATGTCCATGTCCAATTAAACAGTCGTAGAGTATTTTATTTATTTATTTTTTATTTTATTTTTTTTAACTATTTCGGAATAAACAATGGCAATTGTTCCCCATACTACAAAAAGCACAACTGTGTTTATTATGCTTAACATATATACTATTTTGGTTTGCATAGAAGTGGACTGAATGCCTTGCCTTTGGTCGGATTCACCGCTGAAAGAAAAAGAAAACATTCACTAGTTAAAAATAAACAGCATTAGCATACAAAAATTTAATATTGTTACTATTATATTTAAACCTTTGATTATTATCCCTAGAAAAATATGGCCACATCTTCCTCATTAAGTTTAAATTAGCTGTAAAATAATAGATATAAAAAAATTCTTTTATGAATTTATATTTTTGACAAACAAGTTGTTTAAACAACAATATCAGCAGTTTCGTTTAAAGTCATTATTTCGTAAGTTCTACAGTCGAATCAATGACCTTGTCAGCAATTGCAAAATACATATAAGAGAGATGTTGACTGACATTTTTTATACTAACTGTTAAGCCATTTTATACACACTAACTTTTTTCCTCTATAGGTCAGAGACTAGAAGAGCTTATGCGATAGTAAGGTGTCCGGCGACCGCATGTCTGTTTGTCCGTCCGTCCAGCTGTCTGTCAGTCCCTCTGTAAACAATTTGTCAAAATGCTACATGTACGCGACGCTAGCTGAGCTCGCTACAAAGTATGAGCTATCTATTAATTAGTGCTCAAAATCGATATTTACTATTAATCTTCGAAAAATATATAATCAATACAGTTGACCTTAGAAAGTACTCTTTATTTCTAGATATAATAGACCTTTTATAAATAATAGTATTATGCAGCATCTATTTTTTGTAGTGGAATAGCATATTTTAGTTTTAATTTGTTTATTTTATGGAGTAGATTATAATAATCTCATCATCCTCAAGTTATTTGCTTACTGCAGTAAGCTATCAGTTATATTATCAAGGACACCCTATGCGTTAATCAAAGTGTTTCAAAATTGGAATACTACATTTGGCAGAACTTTTAACGGTTCACTTTATTATCATAAATCTGCTTAAGTTCAGCCGTTGTGTTTCCTTCGCTTCTATTCTGTATTGGACTTTTGAGATTGACAACTGTTCGTTATATTAAAACATAAAATGTAAGAAAAAAAAAATTTTCAACTTTTCTCATCTCTGATTTTTTTTTTTTACAGAATTCGTGTTTGTTCTCGATTTGTTTGTTGAAACTAAACTTAAGTTTATTATCTCAAACGTTCATCCATTGCTGATTAAAATCTTTATGAAAACATGTTTGATGGAAAAACCCTCAAGAGATATGCACTTATTATTATATATATTGTGTGCCAATCATTTTTGTAATTCATACGTTGTTAGACATTTCAAACGTCCACGCTTTTGAATGTAAAATGGTCTTCCTTACACTTTTTTGCAATGAATTCATCAAAGACAAAAACATGAAACATACCATGTTATTTTTGTGGAATTAGAGATTTCAACATTCTGTTTCATCGACACAAGTTTGTAGCATTCTTGATCTGTGGAGTAAACGATGGTTCATATAAACGGTTTTTAAATTCGTAAATATGCATTTTTACATTGTCATCAGATGTAATTTATGAAACAAATACACATTTTTTGTCACTATCTAATAGAAAAAGCAAAACTAAATAAAGAAAAAACATATATTACAAAAGACATGAAACTCATCAAATTAAAAGTATTGCAAACAATTTTTTTTAAACTATTGAAGGGTCAAAAACTAAATTGTTGTATGATAAAACACTTTAAACTATTTTTGATAGAACTAAATCTTAAACTCAAAAGAAGTACATTTATAAGCCTCTGTTGACAAATATGAAGAAGGACAGGTCTCGCATTTAATTTGTTGGTGATCTTGAATGCCTTGTCTACCATAGTTGTATTCTGCACAATGACCTTTTAAAAAACAAATAAACTTCCTCGTGAATATAGCAAAAAGGACATTTTTATGAACTTTATGATGATCTTTATTATTAAGCTTTGCAAAATATGGAAACCCTATCTAATGAACTTACACGGTTGGCCATTTTTAGAAAAGGTAAGGTTTATAAAAAAATATCAAAAACGAATTCTTAATTTATAAAAGAAATCCTAATTAAATCCCATGCATTTATAACTAATTTCCCGATCATGACAAGGGGCACACGGCCGATGTGACCGATAAGCGGTGCTCACTCCTCCATGGAACATGAGCACATATCTGATGTTTAAGGCGGGACCTATGTCGTTCTACGTCAAAGCAGCGTCATGTGACGTCACAATAGCGACGTTTGCATTTACCTGTTGACTTGCAACTGTAATATAGGCATAGCATTGTGAATAATCAAGAACGTACACAATTTACAAAAAGAAAATTTATTTATCATTAATAACAGTTCTATTTGATTTATGGAGTTTGCTAATATTAAATTTCTCTTCCTTTGGTTGATTATTCATAGGAATTTCATTTGAAAAGATATATCTCCATAATATGTTGATATAATAGTGCAAAAGATGAGATAATATTCAACAAAGAAAGTGGCTTGAATCAAGGAAATATTGTTTACTTAAATGTTTAATATAAATTTTATTTTCTGGCTCAAACTATGAAAAAACAAGATGTGTTTGTGAAACACTATGCGCCCGGCGGCAACAAAGTTCAAAAATTCTATTTTTAGCATATTGATCACAGTCAAGGTCACAAGGTCATTGATCATAGTGTCATTCGAAAGAACTTAATCAGTGGAGTATGCATACTAAATATGAAGTCCCTATCTCCTATGGTTCAAAAGTTATGGCAAAAAGTGTAAAGAGCTATTTTTAGCATATAGGTCACAGTCAAGGTCACAAGATCATTGACCTTGCCGTCGTTTGAAAGGACTTTATCGGTGAAGTATGCATACCAAATATGAAGTCCCTATCTTTTATGGTTCAAAAGTTATGGCAAAAAGTGTAAAAAGCTATTTTTAGCATATAGGTCACAGTCAAGGTCACAAGGTCATTGACCTTGATGTCATTTGAAAGGACTTTATTAGTGGAGTATGCATACCAAATATGAAGTCTCTATCTTTTAGTGTTCAAAAGTTATGGCCAAACAGACAAACAGATAAACAGACAAACAAACAGACAGGACAAAAACAATATACGCCCGGGATCTATCGATCCGGGCGCATAAAAATAAGAAATGTACTTGTACCTATATTTGAATTGATTTATTGAACATGCAGATTTTATTGTATAAAGGCATTCCTAGGTTTTCTTAGGTGTTGCTTGATAAGGGGGAAATGGGGGGGGGGGGCAGAATGATTTGAATCAAGAAGAAAAGAATTAATCTGATTAAATTGTTTCTAATCAAAACATAAACTCGTTTGTGCAAAATAGTTTTATACTCAGATGTTTGTCAGTGCTTACTTATCTTTTTTTTAGTACAGAAGGTTCAATATTCATGACACGAGTACGAAAATAAAAGATAACGTCATATTTCTCGTTTATTTTATCATAAAGGTATACTTTTTTCTTTGTTAAAATAAAGAGATGAATCATTTCTTTCAACAAATATGAATCACATTTTCACACAAAGACTTTTTAAGATATTGCCTATTATGCATGTCGGAATTGTAAAAAATACGACAAGAAAAATGGGGTGATACTAACATTGCGCTCCATTTTAATTTTTCATGCGAGATGAATTACAATGAATTAGCCTTCATTTTAAAGATACAAGTCGTATAATTTAAATACCTGTTGATTTTGAATTTATTTTGACATTTTTGGTTCTGTTTATGGCAAATTTCGGGTAGAACAAAAATGTCTGAAAATAATCTATTTTTAGCATTTTACACTGTTTTTGCACGTGCTCCTGTGTAAAAATAAGCATATAAAGGTATTGTTTTTAATACCTTAAAATTAAGAGCAAGTGGCAAGGAAAGAAATGTCAAAGTTTTGAAAAGTTCACACAAAGACTTTTTTGGACATAGGTCCCCCTTAAGAGGTCCGTGTTTGCTCTACTCCTATTTTTTATTGCTTTTATGGACTTTGATATTGAATACCTTTCGTTATCTCCATATTTTTCAAGAAAAAATAAGATATTTACTTTAAAATATAAAAAAGAAAAAGATAACAAAACGAGTCGATAAAATTTATTTTTTATACTTACAATTTGTAGAATTCTGTAAAATATGCATCAGATATTGAATTGGAGAAAAAAAATTTAATAACCTATTATATTTCTGGCTGGAGCGCACACTTCAACTGTTGCGTTTGCAAAAGCATTTATTAAACAGTGGTATTGGAAGTTGTTTTGGGGAGTACAGTTCTGCTTCACAACATGACATTGTTTTCGTTCAGCCTCGGCATTCCATTCAGCCTCTGTTCTTGGACATGTCTTTACGTAGGCAACCGTAGGTATGGATTTTTCACAAGAACTGGCCTGAAAAGGTTTAAAAGCCTATTAATTTCTTTCTGCACGATGTCCGATAGCAGCCGTTAATTCACACAAAAGTTATGTGTGTAATGGGCACAACATTTTCAGTGAAAACGCACTGATACATTACACCTAAACCATGAAGGTTCCTTGTACACTTTATATCAACGTTAAAGTGTAAAGTGTCATGTAAAGTTTTTCGTCGTATTTCAGCATACGACATTTAACTTTTCTTTTCTCCGTTTATCAAAGAACATCAGAACCAGAAGGAAAAACTTGTCGGCAGGGGATCCTGAATCTTCCATCGTACCTGATTCCACCTCTGAGATTTTGGACGTGCAAGTTTGCTCTGCTCCTTTTTTGTCTTGTTTCAATGACTTTTGATCTTGAATACAATTATGTATTATTGAAATATAGAGTAAAGAATTCAAATCATGACCAAGAATAAGGTGTTCGAAAGAAAGGCAGGTATTTCTAGTAGTACATTTTAGAATTCTTTTGACGAATAATGAGATTATTGTATTCATCCAAGTATCATGCTACGATGTTGAACACAATCTAATTTTACTTCACATATTGATATGAATAATTTCTAGGTAGTTCAGTGGTAGTTCTAGTTGGTTTTTTTTTCTCCTTTTTGTTTGCGTTTCCTAGCTCTCTTTAATCTCTTTTCATGACTTCCTATCCTTTTAATTCGTCCTAAAGAAGCGACAGGGCGTCCCCAAAATTTGTATAGCTCGGGTATTTTGTTATATTCGCTTTGTTTGCTTTTTCGCCACCAAAACCATTTCAATTTGCAATGTATATTTGCGCATTAAATCACCTTATAATTTTTTGTTGGTCTCGAATTTTGTAACAAGAAACCACGTACAGTATATCTGGTTTTGAAACCAAATCTTCTCTTTATTTGTTAGGCACGATGCAGAATTCAAAAAGAGGACATTGTGGGAACTCAAGCATCTATATAGAAATATGGGTTGTTCGTTTTTAGATACTTTAAATTTTTAGAGAAGTCATGACTTTGTGGAAAATCATTCATTAAATAAAGATGTGTGTGTCAGTTTGAGGCTTTACTCGAATTTACTCGCCTATAAGTCGATTGCATTTTTTTTGAGGTTATTTTGGAGGGATTTGCCCTGACCCGCTTATAAGTCGGTAAAACGTTTTTCCCAGAATACGTTAACTAATTCAAATCAATGCTCTGATCTTTTAACCTAGTTTTAATTAATATTTCAAGAAATACATGGTTTCAAATCAAAACAAATATTAGTAATGTGCACTTAAGGTAGGATTCTTCTCTGGTTTCTGACTAGATGAAACATTCAAAGTATATTTACTTATATGTCTTATATATTGAAGTGTAAGGAATTTAAAAGACCATATTTTTCTTTCCTCATCACAATTGTACATCTTTAAATAGAAATGGTAAACTGCGTTTCAAAACTAGCAGGGACTATATTTTTGGCAGAATGGTGGTGTATGAAAATATCTTCTTTTCTGCCTCTCAAAATTATGAAAGAACAATGAATTTAGTTATAATTTTTACACAATCGAAGACTTGGAGAAATTTTCAAATGTAAGTTGAATTAATAATGAGGGACTAAACTTTCAAAATATATCAAATAAATATGATTTTTCAAACAAACTAGAACTTTATTAGCTTTTAAACGCTTCTTATCAAAGTGCAGATTTGAGCCAAAAATCCATAAAAAGTATTTTTTCTCTCTTAGCAAACGATCAAAACTTTTTGTTTTTGTATCATTTTGTACATTTATAAGACTACTTTATTATATGTGAAAATAAGAAAAAGTTAAATATAGGAAGCATACGAAAATAACTAATATATCCTAAAATATTAAGAAAAACAGAGCAAATTCTGATTAGCCAGTATCCAGTTAAGTTAAATTATTTATGTAAATTTGGTAACATCATGCTATAGACCCAATATATAGTAATATGTTTTTATGCAAAAAGAACATTTTTTTTAACTTCTGAAATAGAAGTAGGTATCACATGATTGGCAACAGTTATTTTTTATTCTTTATGTCAAGGAAAAAGATAATGACCTTGAGCTGACCTTGCCTCTAATATAAAACAGTAAAATTTAATTTCACTGATTCTATCACTTACTGATATTGTCCTCTTGGTTCTGTGAAAATTTCATTAATTTTTAATGATTAGATATATGAGAAAAATCCTACCTTAAGGGGGGACCTATGTCGTTCTACGTGAATAGCGACGCTAGTGTTTACCTGTTGACTTTTGCAACTGTGATATAGGCATAACATTGTTATTAATGAAATAACGTATACAATTTACAAAAAGAAAATTTATCATCATTAATAACAGCTTTATTTGATTTATAGAGTTTGTTAATTATAGAATTTTCTTCCTTTGGTTGATAATGCATAGCAATTTCACTTGTGACGAAATACCTCGATGATATGCTGATATATCTAAGTGCAATAAGATACGGTAAAATTTAGCAAAGAAAGCGGCTTAAATCATGGAAATATGTATTATTTTATGTTTACCATTAATTGTATTTTCTGGATAAAACTAAGTAAAAAATAAAGAAATGTACTTTTACCTATATTTGCTTATTCATTTATAGTATATGTATATTTGATAAAGTCATTCCATTAATAAGTGTTGGTTATGATGGGGAAATTTGGGGGGGGGGGACATAATAATTGGAATGGAGATGAAAAGAAATAATCTGTTTTAATTCCTTCTAATCAAAAAAAATACTCGTTTTTAGCATAATAGTTTTATATTCAGCTGTTTGTCAGTGCTTACTTACCTTTTTTTAGTCCAGTCATTTCTTTCCAAAAATATGAAATTCAACATAAACAAAGACATTTTAAGATATTACCTGTTATGCATGTCGGAATTGTAAAAAATACGACAAGATTTTTCATGCGATATGAAAGACAATGAATTTGCCTTTATTTTAAAGATACAAGTCATATAAATAAAATACCTGTTGATTTCGAATGTGATTTGACATTTTTGTTTCTTTTTAGTGCGTATTTAGGGCAGAACAATAATGTCTGAAAATAAACTATTTTTAGCATATCACACTGTTTTTGCACGTGCTCTTGTGTAAAAAAAACATATAAAAGTACTATTTTTAATACCTAAAAATTAAGAGCAAGTGGTCATGAAAAAATGGGAAAGTTTTGAAAATTTCACACAAAGACTTTTCGGACATAGGTCCCCCTTAAGATGAAACGAAACTTATTAAAATAACATTTTGAAGACACTTGCACTTTTTCATGTGTTCAAATAGATATATGATATGATATAACCAGACTTTGTTCAACGATACTCTTTCAAACTTTTTAAAAAAAGTACTACATATCGAACTCAAAAAATTATCAATTTTTTCATCATTCGCCTGTAAGTCGAACATACATGTAAAGAATTGGACATAAAATAAACTCCCAAAATAATGACTAATAGGCGAGTATATACGGTACATTATTTTATCGATTGGAGTTAATTATAGTTCAAAAAGTAATTCTATTCCAAAAGACTTAAAAATTTGTTGTTCAAAAATCTTATTGAGACATAGTGATTCGTCTGTTCTCCAAATATCCGTTAACTTTTTCATGATGTTATAAGATATGAAACAATTTAAAAATCTTAAAACAAATGAACCTCCAACAAATACTGCAAAAAATCAAATTGATACTTACCAAAGATCCTATGAGATTATTCAACACCAGAATGAGGATAATTACAGCCTTCATAGCTTTTCGAATGCGGAGTTAAAAGCAAATAATTTTAAACAACATTCATCACATAGGCGTGTTGTGTAAATGATATCAGATAAGAAAAAAATAGACAGAAACATGCCCTTCAAACTTCTCGGAAATCCATTTTTAGATCGATGCCCATGTGCTTCTGTAACATGTTTATATTTTCAGCTTTTGGTTATTATACTTTGAACATTATAGCAGATTTCACAGAAAAATAACAGGATTTTATTTTACTGGAGAAAGAATTTTATTGAATAACAAATTGTTAAGAGTTACATGGTCTTTCTAAAAATATAGTTTACCTTTGATCCCTTAATTTATTAATTTCTGTTGTGAAGAGGCCTTACAGTACCATGGCATTGAGCATCGAAAATAAGGTTTTTCTTCAGTTTCATCGCTTTTTTACTTCAAGCTGCTGCCATTCTGAACATTTATTAGCGTTGACTTTTACATGATTAAAAACAATCGCCTATAATTAATACTAAATACAATCATCTAAAAAGCTCCAAAATACAGGAATCCCAAGCTTTTGTTAATTTTTCACAAAGCTGCGTTTTCCTCTCAAATATGAATTATGTCTATGAACTGTAGTTTTTTTTTTTTATTTTTATAAAGGAATGCTGATTACATGTAAAAAAAAAAAAAAATCAATATGCAAACCCTCTTTCTCATTCGGAATAAAGTGAATCAGAAGAAAGGGTTGTTTTTAATATAAACAATGATAAAATAAGAATGCCAATGATAAGAACAACCATATAATGCGGTTTGCAGGAAACAACGTGTTTAACAATAACGTCTTTGTAGTAAGGATTATTTTAATCAATGAAATTCATTTGAAAAATATTGATTGGTTGGAATTTTGCATGTGGGAATTAAACTTACACTCACAGTTTACTTTAGCAATTCATCAAAATCATAATTCAGTGCTTATTTGGATAATTAAACATTTCAAGGTCAGTCCCCTAAGTTGAAGTTTATTTTTCTTGCGTATTCTTAATTACAAAACTTTCTACGAAAGCACTAAAACCAAAAAAGTCATGTCCAGCAAATAAACCCATTTGTTTAATTCTTACAAAAAATCCCATTTATTGCTGTAAAAAGGTCATTTTCAGTTTTATTTAAAACAAAGGATTCTATTTTAGATATCATTTAGAACGATGGATGCGAAACAAATTCAGAACAACACTCACATTAAAAGTGGTTGAAACAGACTTTGGATAAAAAGGTATTCTATCAAAATGAGCTCTGATTACATCAAAATGTACCTTTTGTAAATAATAATTCAAATCAGCATCAACACTGATACCAAAAACATGGAGATTTGATATGTATTTTTTTTATTTACTGTATACAGTTGGTTTTATTTATGTGGTAAAATTTTTAAATGCCTCACGAGATATAAAAGTAGCTATAACAAAGAAAACTGATAAATGTAAATTGTCAGTCATGTTTTATGCGGAGAATCTTGACGAAATTTCTTATCAATTGTATCAGTAGATATCAGTTTCTAAATATCCAACTACATGAAGGATGTTTATATTTTACCCTAAAAATAATCATGTTTCACAAAAAGTATAAATAGTTATAGATACATGTATCACTACAGCTACTTTGTTACTTGAGTGACACATCATATACTAGTATCATATTAAGGAAATTGAAACCAAAATATTATATTTTATTGATTTCTTTTTAAATGCATTCAATATATTACTTTCGCATTATTATGATACTATTACTTATGTTGCTAGCAATTGACTTTACTCACATGTCGTAGCTAGTTACAGGTTTTTACTTTTATATTCATTTATCAAAGATGAAATAACCTTAAAACAGGGTTTACTAGTTGAATTATTGTGTCAAACAACATAACAATAGTACTGAGTGATTAGTGATTTTATTTGGCTGAATGGGCCACAGCCACTTCAATGCAGGAGCTGAGGGACTAGTCCATACTTGAAAACAATTGTAAAAATGTTGAAAAAGAGTTCATCGAGCCTACCGGTAAGCCCAATATCCGCATGCCTGGCGTGAACTGCTGGTATGTAAGGTTGCTACAATCAGGTGGCCGTGACAAGGACTTTTATTTACATTTAAAATCAGTTATTAGTAGCCAGTTACTAAAAGCTAACTTTACGTACATATCGTAACCAGCTACTAATAGTAAATTTTACCAGTATCCAGTTACAAGTAGCCAGTTATATGTAGCCAATTTTACATATCTTCCATTTAATGGAATAGGTGGGTATAATTTGTACCTAGAATACCAGAGGTCAAATATTTCAAACATAGATTATAAAGGTGATTTGAATTAAAAAAAAACTCCACTAAAAGAATTCACAATTTTTTTTAATAGTTTCCATCTAACTACATCTTAAATTCTACATGTATTACTACATGTATACGAAATGCATAAGATAATGATATTAAGATTTAGTTAAAGTAATTTCAACTTCAGATCTCTCGGTGAAGATATGCATAAACTCTCTACTAAAAATATACCAATATTTACTACAAAAAATTTGAAAAACAATTAGAATGATATTTTTTATTCAAAAATATTCAAAGTGTGAAATAACCAGGTATCAGTTGGGTTGTGTGCTGTTATTTGTTAGAGCCAAACAGTGGTGATTCATGCCGATAATTTCAATTTTTGCTTCATCTTATAGAGAGACATCATTGGAAAACATTATTTTATTTTGCTGATTTAAAAATAAAATTTCATAAATGACAGGACTTATAAAAATTGTTAAAAACCAACCTAATTATCATTCAGTTTTAAATAAAATACAAGTTTCACAGTTTTTTTTACTGAAAAACTAACACAATTTAAATCACATCAAGAAAAAATTACACATAATTGAAATTAGATTACATGAGAGAAAAAAAAAGCAACGTCTAATTTAAAGTAAATAATTAAATAAATGAAATCCATATATAAATATATATATATATATATATATATATATATATATATATATATATATATATATATATATATATATATATATATATATATATATATATATATATATATATATATATATATATATATATATATATATATCAGGGTTCTCCATCATTTGAGATTTTACTGTGTTGCAGAGTTTACGCGAAGCCCTAATATTTCGCGGTATTTTCGCGAACAAATTCGCAACTGAATCAAAATTCATTATAATTACAAAAGATTACAAGCACACACTTATCTAAAATTCGCTAATTCGTTACACAAATGGTATGGTCGTACATACTGATAAAAGGAAAAAAAAGTTCTGAAAAGCAGAGGAAATTCTGGCCGATAGTCGAACTACTTAACATTTTTGAAAGTAGATTTGCCAAGTTTATTTATCAGGTTTCTTGATCGAGTTACCGCATTACAAAAAAGGAACTTCAGAACTGTATAATATTCTAAAGAGTTCCTTGAACATTCTGAAATTTCAAAATTTTCGGCAATTTATTTACATCAATTAAATGACTTCAGCATGTTCAGTACTATGTTATGTTTGACTTACAGTGCTTACGTAATTCTAGAGCCGTGGTTCTGTAGGAAAGACATAATTATGTAAATATTTTTCATAAATAATACATTTGTATTTTAATGCAACTACCAATTAAGCGGTACATTGAATTGTGAAAACAATTTATTTGTCTTTGTTCCGTCATGCGTAAAGTCCGGCGAGGGTCAAGGAGATAATTGATTGATTACGCAAGGTGAAGCCCTAGAAATTAAGTGTTATAACTTTTTGAATTGAAAGACGGTAGAATTGTTTGATTAAAGTTTCAGATAAAGAGAATTTGTGTGTTTAGATTTTCCAATTATCACAATTCTTACTGTGTCGGCAAAATTTTTACTGTGTCGCATGCATGAAGTTTGAATCGTTACTGTGTCGGAGAAAATTTTACTGTGTCGGGAGCAACACAGTAAAACAGCTCATGGAGAACCCTGATATATATATATATATATATATATATATATATATATATATATATATATATATATATATATATATATATATATATATATATATATATATATATATATATATATATATATATATATATATATGGTGTCCCAAATTATATGTTACACTTTTTAATCGTTATAAAAATTTTATGAATCAAGTTACATTAATAAAATTTTAATGTATAATAAAATTGTTATAAATTTTGTGTCAAGTGTACATTTGTCACAGTTTTCTCATTAATCATAAACATTTTTTTCTTTAGAATCACACGTCATTTTACAACCTATTCCAAATAACGTCCCTTTGAATTAACATTGTTTGAACACGATTTCTGAGGTTTTTTTAACCAACCATTAAATGTAACATTCTAACAGTTAAGAGGTTTTTCCACATTAAAATTGGGTTTCACCAAACAACAAAATTTAAGAATCTTTTGAAAAACATTTTTAAAACAGAAGTGGGCTTCATCAGAAAACCATGCATCTGTTAAATTTTCAGAGTCGGGTCTTATTCAAATTCAATGGGTAAACTCTAAACAACTTCTAATTTCTGTCTCTGTCAATTGCTACATTACATATAATTATCTATATATATTGAAACAGAAAAAAATCCACAGTGCTCGGTAGTTTACAGGTAAATCTTTTTTAAAAAAAGAAACACGAAAACCTTTAGTTTAGCTTGAGCGCTTTCATTACAAATCTTTAAAAGCTTTATAATACGTAACATAGCAACATAGCGTCATAATAAGCGGAACATTACATACAAACGTCTATTGGACGTCATAGTCAAACTTTGCGGGAAAACTGTAAAATGAAAATAATAAGTGCAATTTTTACAACAATTATGCTCAATTGTTTAGTCTAGGTTTGAACATATGTTTAAAATGTTTTTCTTTCTCACGTCTCTGAATATCACTTTCACTTGAAAGTTTGTAAAAAGGAAATATAGTGAATTGCTTATTTCCACAAGTATCCAAATGTTCACTCAGAGGGATTTGCCGACATTTCGGAGAGTTAATATGTTGTTGGTGGACACGC